AGTCTTTCATGCCTCAAAGCTTGCACCTTTCGCTGAGACTGATCAATTCCCTTCCAGGAGATCGATGCTGCCCCCAACCATGGATGGACAAGTCGACATCGACGACATTGTGGACCACAGGGATATGCCTATTCAGAAGCCGTTGGGTCGAGGAAGACCTCCTAAACCCAAGAGAGAGTACCGGATCAGATTTAGGCATCATACGGATCCTAAAGAAGATCGGTGGTTTACTCGGGAGGAACTGATGGAAACAGCTCCTCAGGTGGTGGCAGATTATGAACGGAAGCTAAAAGGGAAGGCACCTGCGAAGTAAGCATCTCAGCGGACTTTCGAAGCTAAGGGGGATGGAATGTGAGGATTGAGCCCTCAAGTAGGGGCCTTGCCATGACGTACATGTTCTGGGCTAAGGCCCCAGCAAGCCTGGTGCCCGCCCTAAGTGAAGGCGGGCCAGCAAATCAACAAGAGCCCTCTTAGCCAACATTTCACGAAGTGGGGTCTATACAGTTGCAGCACGCCAGTTGGTTGGAGTGCACCGAGTCTCGTATTTCAGCAAATGTTGAAATGCCCAGGGCCTCTGAGTTTGTTAGGCCCTGGGCACTCGAACGTGAGGCCGACAATGCATGTTGGGTAGAGAGGCCGAAATGCCAAAGGGAAAATCGGTCCACTATCTGAATCTGGCCGCAGGCCTTGAGAAGAAAGGCGCAACTACATTGCTCCATGGCCCAACTGTATCAGGAAGGCTTCAGCCTCTGGGTCCCGGACGCAGGCTGGAGGGAGGCCGCCCACATGCTGCATTGGCATATAGGCAAGCAGGGCGAGGCAGCGGGGATCTTGGCCAATGCTGGCATATGCGGGCACGCTGCGCAGGTGCAAGTGTGCAGCGCTATGCAGAGCAGCGCAGCGCTAAGACAGAGCAGGGCAGCGCTAGGCGGTAGGGCGCTGCCTGCGTGCAGGGCACTGGCGGCCATAGCCAGGCTGCATGAGGGTGGAGGGGAGGTGAGGGCGAAGGTGGTACTTCGGAGGTGAAGGGCGCTGTGTGGGTAACAAGGGAGAGTGTGGGGAAGAGGACACGTAACTGGTGATGGTGGAGGTCTGCATTGGTGTTGACATCATCACTCGCTGGTAGTCAACTTGTCTGGTTGCTGTTCATTGCTGTAGTTGTAGGATAGGCTGTAGAGTAGATAGGGCGCCTGGCGCCATTCACAAGAGAGAGCAACATTTGGGTTATGCTGTTGGTGTTGCCCTGTTGGGCATGGACATTGACTCACGATTCTTCTGTATCATTCTCAATGGGATGGTTACTGGGTTCCATGTGCTATCTGCTTTGGCTTTGAATACTTGGACTTCAGTGTGATTTTGCATTCTGGATTTCTGTGCTTCGTCCATACTCATGTTCCTTGCTTTAGTCTGATCAGATCAGATCATCGTTCAGAGAGAGAGAGAGAGAGAGAGAGAGAGAGAGAGAGAGAGAGAGAGAGAGAGAGAGAGAGAGAGAGAGAGAGAGAG